CCTAACCAGAACTTTGCTGGAGGTCCTGACCAGAACTTGGCTAGAGATCCTGGCTAGGCTGCTGATCAACTGAACATTGTCTCTGTGTCATTCCTTCTTCGCCGACTCCATCCACACCTTTGGGAACCCCTGGACCCGCCGGGGCCGGACCCCGGCAATAGTGATTGCTCCACTCTCAGTAAACTACAGATGTCAGCGTGTGTGTGTGTGTGTGTGTGTGTGCGTGTGTGTGTGCCTGGTGCACATTCACTCATTCCACAGGTATTTGTGAGTTTCTACTCTGTGCTGTTCTAGGCACAGTGGAAAGAAACAGGAAGAGTCCTTGACCTTGCAAGTCTAGAGGGGGACACAGACAACAAAAAAATAAATGAATAACATGTCAGTAGGTGCTAAGAGATATGGAGAAGAACAAAGCAGGGTAAGGGGCATAGGAAATGCTGACATGGGGGGGATTTCTTTCTCAGTCATCTATTGTGAGTGATGATTTATATAAGGTGGTCAGGGAAGGCATCATGGTTAAGATGGCATTTGAGCAGAGATCTGGAGGGAGGGGAGAAGGGAGCTGTGCACATTTCCAGCTGAGGGAACCGAAAGTGCAAAGGCCCTGAGGTCAGCACATGCTTGGTGTGCAGGAGGAACGGCAAGGGGCACAGTGCTGCTGAAGTGGAGTGAGTGCAGGGGGGCAGCAGAGGTGGTTAGAGAGATGGAGGTGGGCGTCAGGGCCTGCAGAGTCTCCTTTGGGTTTTTTCTGCAAGTAACATAGGACCCCTAAGAGGGTTTGAGCAAAGGAGTGACATGATCTGATTTCTGTTGCAAAAGATCACTCTGGCTGGCTATTGTGTTCAAAACAGAGGGAGCCTGAAGCTGGATGGGGGGGAGGAGGTTATTTCAATAACTCAGGTGAGAAGTAATGGTGGCTTGCTCCAAGTGGGATCAGTGCAAGTGCTGAGAAGCGAGGCTGAACCGAAGTAACGTTAATGGGTCAGAAGTGACCGTGCCTGCAGCCTGAGCAATGGGAATGACAGCGTTTCCTTCTGCCCAGTGGAAGACAACGGTGGGCAGAGCGGATCTGAGGAGACCAGGGACTCGTTTGGTCATGTTACAATCAAGTTTTGGGCATGCCACATTCAAATGCCAGTTAGACACCCACTGGAGATGCCAAGCAGGCCACGGAGCGGACCGTCAGGAGCTCAAGGGGAGGTCCTGGCTGCAGATATGAATTCGGGGATTTGGGTGGTATTTGGAGCTGAGACTGGCTAACCTCACCAAGGAGTGAGCGTGGATGAAGAAGAGGCCCAGCACCTCAGCTTATAGACATCGGGGAGGTGAGGAGGAAAGGGGAAGGAAACTGAAAATGATAGGAGAGGAGGGGCGGGGAGGGAGCAGGGAGGAGCTATCCTGGAAGCCAGCAGCAGACAGGGCTGGAGGGACATCAGCAGCTGTGCTGAGTGCTCCGTGAGGTGGGGATTCGGTGTCCAGCTTTGCCTGTGATGGTTCTACTTTGCATCTGTTGTCCTGGCATAACTATTAAGAATGTCCCACCCCCTTTTAGTCCCAGCTTGGATGATAAATTATACGGTCACCCTCCCGAGACATCAAGTCGGATGCGGACTTTGAACTGGCCATCGCATTAGCAACACAGAGGTCGTTAGTGGCCTTGATGAAAGCTATTTTGGTGGAGTGGTGGGTGTGCCATTTTGACTGCAGTGTGATCAAGAGAGACTAGGAGGAAAGTGGGTGGAGACCTGTGTGTGGGTGGGTGACAGGCCCTCTAGGGATTTGTCAAGGTTTGTTTTGCCTGCTTCCCTGGCTCCCACCCCTACCCAGCAGGGAGGGCTCAGGACAGAGGCTCAGGACATGCATCGGTGTCCAAGGAATGCTACCAGCTGCGTCGGATGGGTCAGGCAGACACCACCTTGGAACCCCTTCCTCCACCCTCCTCATCACTCCTGCCTTGGGGCTGTGCCGGGGCTGCCACCCTCCAAGGACCACTGGACCCTGAGCCTCCAGGAAGAACAGCTGAGGCTCTGCTGTGCTGCTGCCTGAAGTTACGAGTTTTGCTAGTGGATCTGAGAAGAAGGGCTCAGCCCCAGTCCCCACCTTGGCTGTGCTCACCTGCCGCCCAGCTCCCACACAGCCCGAGGGAGAACTCCCTACAGCGTCAGCCTTCAGGAAGTGCTCCATTACCTGCTGTGCTCTGGGTCCCACTGAGGCTGTCACTCTGGTGGGTACACAGTGTGCAGGGACAATATGGGAAATATAACAACTCGGTACAGCATGGACACCAACCACGTGGCTGCAGAAGCAGGTTTAAGAGGCTCCCTGGTGAGCCAGGGATTACCCCCTTGGGCGCTGGAACCTGGGGACCACCAGGGGTCCCTGTGGCAGGGTATAGGACAGTGATGGCGAACCTATGACCTGCGTGTCAGAGGTGACACGCGAACTCATTTTTTGGTTGATTTTTCTTTGTTAAATTTTATTTTATAAATTAAAATGCCATTCAACAAAGAAAAATCAACCAAAAAAATGAGTTTGCGTGCCACCTCTGACACGCTTGTCAAAGGTTCGCCATCACTGGTATAGGATGACCA